CGGCCCGGCCCGGCCCGGCGCCGCGTCAGTCCCGGGCCCAGCTCGGCCGCCTCCGCTCGTGCGTCTCCTTACACACGTGCGTGCGTGTGCGTGGATGTGTGTGTGTGTGTGTGTGTGTGTGTGTGTGTGTGTATACGTGCGCGCCTATATCTGTATATGGATATGCATGTGTGTGATACGTGCATGTGTAATATATACATACACATACCGCATCCGTATGCACAGCTATATACACTTACACTATCTATCTTCTATACCACTATACAGATAGATCTATCTATACACCTATGCAGATACAGACATAGATAAATAAAAAGCTATCTGTCTATACGGTTACAGTAACTATATAGTTCTTTAGTTCAGGATACAGAGAAACCTCCATATACAGTTACTATATAGTGATGTATTTGTGTGTAAATGTGCATGTATATCTGTACTGGTTTTCCTCACTTTATGTGAGTTCTGCATGTGCCCATTTGCTCTTATGCGATGACCCTTTTTTTACCAAAAGGGTGTTACGTGCGAGGTAAATTCACTCTTATATTGGCAATCGGTGCAGCGGAAGCCGGCAATCAGCTGCTTTGGCAGCGCACTGTGGAAGTGGCACACACCAAAATTTAGTCTCCTGTGTGGCTCTGTGCTCCTCGCTCCTTGTCGGCAACACGTGTTTCTGTAGCTGCCATCCCCGTGATGATAGTACCCTGTGCTTGTGTGAACGGTCTGCTGTTGGTGAGTACCAAAATTGTCTTGCAGAAGTGGTAGAAATGGGTCTGGGGGTCAGTGCACTCAACGTCTTGGAACATACCCTATTTGTTACATTGTAAAGTGGGATCCCTTTATACGAATTTTAGTTATGCACCCCTTTTCCAGGAAGGTTTGTACAGCATAAAGCGAGGGAAACCTGTATATGGATATGCATGTATACATCCCCATTACACATACACACACTATTTTTTATCTATTTATAGCTATATCTCTATAGCTATCCATCTATGGGGGTGTAGGTATATAAGTAGATGTACATGTATACAACATGATATATACACAGTTATATATAAATGTGGGAGTTCTGGTTGTGTTAGGCCGTATGTATGCTAAGCTATTGTAAGCTATGGTGCCAAAAAGCAGTAGGAAAGAAAAGGGACCTCATAACCGCTGGATGACCCTGGCAGGCCCATGCTTGCAGTGCCACCGCTGGCATGCCCTGCCCACCTGGGCACCGCCCCATGGCCTATTTTCCTGCCACAACTTAATGTTATTTTAGATTAGTTGAAGGTGCTGCTCACTGCTCTCCTCTGGCCCCAGGTGGCTCAGCCAGTAGGTCTTCTGTGAGGCTCTACCACCCCTACACTGCACCCCTTTCCACTCAGGTGGTCCACTCTGGTCGTGGCCATGTCTGGGATTGGCTGCTGGTGTTGCCTATTCTCCTGGCACACCGGCCTACAGTCCCCTGTGGGAGCGTGGTGACATCTCCTTGGCTGACAAATGCACAACTTAATAATGAAACTAAGTGTGCACATGTGGTATGGGCTGCACCTAACACTTCAGTGCTCTGTGTTCAGCAAGGTGGGCTTCACTTGGCCGCCGCTGGCCTCCCCTTTGTGGGTGTTCCCCAGGCAAGCTGGGGTCCTAGGCCTGCTGGCACCTGTCACAGGATGGGGCCCCCAGGGATGGCTGCGATACCCCAGGTCTCCCCAACCATGCCAGTCCTGCCCAACAGGCACCCTTTCTCGCCTGCCACGTCTTGGAGTAACTTAAATAGAGAGGCTGCCCTCAAGTTTGTTTGGGCATGGTCCTGATGGACCCTACTGAACCCTGTAGGTTCTTGGACCCCTTTTGGGTCCCACTCCAAAATGAAGGTCTCGGGATACCCTCAGTCTTATGCGCTAGATGCGTGGCTTCAGACCGTCCCTTTACCATGGCTCAAGGCTCGCAGATGGCATTCACACAGTGTCCCTCCAAGACCTTAGTTTCACTTGGCCTCTGGTCAGTACTGGGCTCTCCGCAGCCCTGTCTCTTTCTCTCCGTGCCCTTCAGCACTGGGGCCTGTGCACCCCAGATACTGAGCCCATGCTGGTGCTGGGGTCCCCACAATGTAGTGGGCCCCCTGGGCTATAACTTAATTCAAGCAGCTCAGGGTATGCTCTGTCCCTTTAAAAGAATCACTCTTTCCCAGCACTACAGGCCTTGTAGGCCAGGGTATCTGGTGAGCTCCTGAAGTCCCTTAATCTTACCAGAAGATAACAGGCAGTCAGGCCTCTTCCCTTGGCTTCCTCTAGGAGAGTTCCTTCCCCCTTAGCTGCTGGCAGAGTACTGACTCTCTTGTCCCAGCCCTGGGGTTTATATGGGCCCAGGGCCCTGCCTCTTCCAGTCAGCTGACCAGGCGCAGGTGCAGGCTAATTTGCTTGTTAGCCTGTTGCCATGGTAACCTACACCTGTGGGCTTCTGTCTGGCTCGTTGGGCTCTCTCCCCAGGCAGTTTCTGCTCTTAGAGGAGCAGGCACTTTAGTGCCCTGCAACAGCACCAGGCCATTTACCCCAGTACTTCAGGCTACGTCCTATCACACTCTCGAGGATCCTCTGTGACGCTGCTTCCCTACCAGTGGATTTGGGGTATGTACCCACTCAAACGCAGTGGCTGTGGCTACAGGGATGCCAGATGGATTTTCTTCCCCAGCAGGCTCTACCAGTCCTTCTCGGGCTGGCCTCCTCCCATCCTAGCTGCCCAGAGGCTGCCTGTGCCATTTGTGCCACAGGCTGGCGAGCCCTACATGACAAAATCAAGGCTCAGTTCCCAAAGTTTGGGTATATACAATGCAATGTCTTCATTTCTAACAATTGTGACTACAGGGACTAAAATATTTTTTTAAAAGCAGAAAAAAAGTACCACATCTGTGGTGAGAGCAGTCAGGCTGACTCTGATTCCCAAACAGCTTGGCCCACTTCTATTTCAGAGTTTGAAACAGAACAGGGAAGCAGTGAGTAGTTCCCTGGACCAAGATTAATGGTCTCTCTGGTTACCTAACAGCATTAACAACAATCATGTCACTTGAAAATACTTCCCTTTGCAGATGGACTGGTACAATATTGGTAGATTAGCTATAGCAAGTAATTAGATTTCAAAAGATTGCACTGGGAAATGTGAAACTATGTCCCGACATTTGTCTAGGTGTAGAAAAAAAATGATACTTGGCTGGAACCATCCTTTAATTTAATATTGATTGTGTTCAGTTCTTATGAAAATCAATGGAATTACCTGCATATAATCAAAAACAGAATTTACCCCACTGGCCTATGTATAAATTTGCACTGTTTTTTACAAACTTATGTTAACTTGTTCTCTCTCTTTTGTGCAGAAAACCTATTATCTCTACGTTATTGCCTTTTATTGATTAGAGGGTTGTTCCATTTGTCCTTAGGTTAGTTTGCTGACAAGCATTTGTCCTGTATTTGTGTTTTGTCCCTGAATGGAGGTTTCTCTGTATCCCGAATTAAAGAACTTTTAATCCACATGAGGCAATACCTACTCCATTCTGTATGTGAGTCTACCTATGTAGTGGGCAAAATGCTTCCTCAGTGGAGCACTGGCTATTCAACATGCCATACAGCAGTGGTTCCCAAACTTTTTTATACCATGGACTGGCACAGGAGCGGGACAGGGCACACAGAGCCAGCTGCCTCCCACCTGGGGCTGCCCCACTACCCAGCACGTGACTGCCGGCAGCAGAAACTGCTCACCTGAGCAGGCAGACAGGGGTCCAAGTGGGGGACTCGTGCCATGACCTGGCAGCTAGTTAGGAACCTCTGCCATACAACACCATGCAGACAGCACCAACTTTTACCTGTTATATTCTGGGTTGTGAGAGAAGCGAGTGTATAAGAGTGGCGAGTTTTGTAGCACAAGGAAGAGAGAGACTTAGCACACCACAGTAGCTATCACATGCCAGGTTGGAAGTCCATCTGTTTCTTCCACTCCAGATCAGGGAAATAATTGATCTTAAGCACTTTTTTACCCACTGCAATTTATTTAAGCTTACTGCAAGAGACCTTACTGCAAGCTTACTGCAAAGAACATATTTATGCTCAAAACAAAGGCATATGGAAAGCTGCTGAAGAATTCATATGCTGCAGGTAAAGGGTTTTTGGCTGGGAATTGTTTAGGACAGCAGGTGTGTTTAGTTGTGTGTAGGTGGAGAATCAGATAGCACACTGGGACAGAGAGGCAAGGAAGTGTCAGTAAGCCTGAACAGCATGTGCACAGCTCTGAGAGAAGTGTGGGTGTTTGGGGCAGGGGTTTTGGCTGAAAGAGTTCTGAAGCTGTGAATCGGGAAACAATCTCTGGTTGTTCCAGTCCTCTTGCATTCAGGATTGCAAGAGCGATGTACATTTTTGTACGTAAAAGGAACT